GAGGGAGGAAGATGTGGCAGTCTAATTCCGTAAAGATTTACAGCTTTGGAAACTCTATGGGGTAGGTCTACTCTGTCCCATAGGGTTGATATGAGTCAGAATCAACTCAACGGCAATGGGTTAAAGACAGGTTAAACGTGAGATTTTGTGTATTTGTCCAGTTCTGTTCCCTAGCCTGATTATCATTATGAATACCTACTGAGTTCTTACTATGAACTCAACATTGTGTTATAAGGGATGCCAAGAAGGTTGCCCTTAAAAGAGTTCACCATCTAGTTGAGAGAATAATATAAGATAAAAAGTGTGAAATAAGAACCAATGGGAGAGAATGATATATAATTATTTTATAAAATATGATCAGGTTATTTTTTTAAGGATTCTTATTTTATGTTATTTTTCACATGATGTATTTCCAGTTACTGGAAAAAAAAACTCCGAATTCCCCTAACTCTGTTTCTTCTCCTTTTCTCCACCAGCCCCAGATTTTAACTCTTAGTATTTTTATAAGACAGTGCTTCCCAAATATTAATATGCACACAAATCACCAGGGGATTTTGCTAGAATGCAGATTTTGATTCAATATTCTGTGTGAAGCCTGAGGGTCTACACTTCAAGCAAGCTCCCAGGTGATGCTGATGCTGCTGGTATGCAGACCATACGTACCTGGACAGGAGAGACGTGTGTCAGGTGTGTCTCGGATCTAGGTTTTTTGCCACAACGCTAGCCCAGATGAAGTGGAAAAAAACTTACCTAGTTAAATGAGAAGAAAATGAGTAAACAAGTAAAAAAAAAACTCATCGCTGTCGAGTTGATTCCTACTCATAGTGACCCTATCGGACAAATAGAACTGCCCTATAGGGTTTCCAAAGAACAGCTGGTGGATTGGAACTGCCAACATTTTGGTTAGCAGCTGAGTTCTTAACCACTACGCCAACTAGTAAAGTACCTAAAAAACAACAACAACAAAAAAGTTGTTATCCATCGAGTTGACTCCAACTCATGGCGACCCTATGTGTTACAGAGTAGAATTAATTGCTCCATAGGGCTTTCTTGGCTCTAATCTTTATGGAAGCAGTTCACCAGATCTTTTTGCCCCTGGAGCTGCTGGGTGGGTTTGTTCCACTAACCTTTAGGTTAGCAGCCAGTCACAAATTGCTTGTGCCACCCAAGCTCCGAAGTACCTAAGGGGAAGAAAATAAGGAAAATTTGAAAATACACTCCCAGATTATTCCCCAATCACCTCCTCCAAAAAAGATTTAGAATACAGGTAGCTCCTGACTTACCATGTATTTGGGTTATGACAAACCACACTTACAACCTTTTTTTTTCTTTTTTGGTACATCTTATCATTAGTAATATGTACTACATACAATGTTGCAGCAAGTAATTTGTTGACGTTATCATTCTCAGATGTTCACTCGCAGATGTTCAAAGATCGAATTTATAAAGATACTGATAATAAAAACCAATAATAATTTGAGTATTAATTGTTGAATGAGAAAATAATGTGTTCTGTAATACAACCAGAGTGTTCCTTAGGAGCGAGGGTGGCGACACTTCGTCTCATGTACTTTGGACACGTTATCAGGACGAACCAGTCCTTGGAGAAGGACATCATGTTTGGTAAAATAGAGGGTCAACGAGAAAGAGGAAGACCCTCAACGAGATGGATTGCAATAGTGGCTGCAACAATGGGCTCAAACACAGCAACGATTGTGAGGATGGCAAAGAATCAGTCAGTGTTTCCTTCTGTTGTACATCGGGTTGCTATGAGTCAGAACCAAACCTACAGCACCTAACAACTTAAACAACAACAACAAAAAGAGATATTCAGCTTATGTCAGAACCAACTTAAAACTTATGTTACAAGTCAGCTACGTACATAGATTTTAAGCACAAGATGCCTTCTAGAAAAATGAATTTATCAGTATGATAGTAAACTGATATTTTATGTAGTCACTTTTTTAATTTCATTTTCAGATGGTAATTTCAGAGGGAAACATTGCAGACTGAGAGAACAGTGAGTGCCAACTATTCATGGATGACAACTGTTGTGTGCTGTCGAGTTGATTCTGACTCATAGCAACCCTACAGGACAGAGTAGATCTGCCCCATAGGGTTTCCTAGGCTGTAATCCTTACAAGAGGAGCCCTGGTGGTGCAGTGGTTAAAGTACTTGGCTGCTAACTGAAAGGTCAGTGGTTTGAACCTACCAGCCACTCCCTGGGAGAAAAACATGACAGTCTGCTTCCATAAAGATTACAGCCTTGGAAACCCTATGGGGCAGTTCTACTCTGTCCTTTAGGGTCACTGTGAGTCAGAATCAACTCAATGGCAATGGGTTTGGTTTTTTTGTTGTTGTTGTTTTGGTTTTTTTAAATCTTTATAGGAACAGATCACCAGGTCTTTTCTCCCCTGGAGCCGCTGATGGATTCTAACCACTGACCTTTGGGTTAGCAGCCAAGTGCTTAATCAGAGCTCCTGAAGGACAAGTACTCTAGGGTTAATGACCTTTCTATTGTCATTGGGAATAGTGGTGGTTTGCAAATGTCCACAGAGCCTCTCAAAATGCCTGTCATTGGGCTCTACCTTCAGAAATAGTCTTTTCTTAGGCTCGTGTCTGGCCCAGGAATTTGAGTTTTTTAAAGTTCTGTGGGCAGTTCACCAGTAAAGTAAGGTTTGGGAAATAATTCTCTAAAAAAAAAATGCTCTCTATAGAGACTTTGTATTATTTTATACTCAAACTTCTAGAAGAAGAAAATATATAGAGTTAAAGCAAACAAATTATACATAAAACTAAATTGTAAAATATGATAGTCTTGTAAAAGAACTTCAGAATCAACTTTATAGCAGTGTTCTAAATTGTAAGGATTTATCCTAAAGTCTACATAGTATAAAATCTCACGTTCTCGAGCTGTTGCTAGTAGTTTTCAAACCTAAGTGTAGGGAAGAATCACTAATAGGCGAGTTAATGAGGTAGATTTCTGGGGCCCATTCCAGAAGATTCTGAGTCTGTAGTTTGGAGTGGGACCTCAGAATCTACTTTTTTTTTTTTTTAAGCTGAATAGCCACAATGCTTCCAATGTAGGTGGTCTAAGGACTACAGTTGGAGAAATATGGCTGCTCTCTGAATTTTAACAGTCAACTGAAACCTATCCCTGGGTGGTGACAGACTAAAAATGAACATGGCATCTAATCAGCAACTGAGATTGCAGATAAGAGCGTCATTATGAAGTGTTCCCTGCTTATTACAGTAACTCACTTAATGCCTGCACAAGATGCCAAGTCTCAACCTGATTTGCGTCACTGTAATTGTGGGTTTATGCCAAGGTTAGTTACCAAACATATTGCAAAGATAATCTCACAGAATGTGGGACAAAAATAAGATGAGAGCTTGGTACGAGAGAAGCGAAATCCGAGTCGAGGTCATATACAAGTCATTGTGGAAGGACAATATCAGAGGTATGTTCCAACAAGCTTCTGACGACAGAATTTAATTACTGGACTTATTTAGCCCTTAAAAGAAAGCAAAGCCAGTAAATTCCCGTCGTGGTTGAGATTCGAAACTAGTAAAATCTGCCCTGCTCTGTTGAAAGCTAAGGAACTGGTCTGCTGTGCAGGAAAGGACTTCCTGTCAAGTGTTCCCAGCTCTGCGCTGCAGGCGGAGCCGGAGCAGCTGATGGCAGGGAAACCCACTGGCAGCGAGTCGGGTGAGTCAGCGCTGCGTCACGCTCGGAGCTACGTGCAAGTGAAGGCTGCGGAGGCCGAAACAGCCGCCGCTAAATCCGCGGAGATCCGCGGCTTCCTGGAAGACCCTCCCCTGCGCCGGGAGGGCGGTGTCGCCTCCTCGTCCCAGCAGGGCCCCGCGGTCACACACGCGCCTGCACGCACGGCCTCCTCGCCCGAGCTGGTGACATCCAGGATTCACCGCCTTCACTGCCGAAGGGAAGAGTAACATGTAACAGATGTTTTTTCGGCGGATGCTTTAATCCCATGTGTTTCCTCAAATCTGAGATTCCAGTTGCTCTTGCTGCTTTCGTGTTGTTGGTTTTTTTTTCCTGGCAGGGGAGTAACACGCTGATCTTTTTATAGTTTTCAATTTTTTTCTTTTTAATGAGGCACAGGAAGAACGAATTAATAAAACATGTGCTGAAAATTATGCATCAAATTGACACACTTCTTTGGAGTCTAAAATTATAATAATGTGGCTAAGGTTGTAGCTTTGAATGCTGGGTAATTGAAAACAGTTAACTCTTTGAATTTGCTGTTTATTAGTAAAAAGCAAATCTGTGCTATAGTTTAACCTGTTTTGCCCAGTCACCTTCTAGTAATTAAATTATTTTAAAGACTGGAGACATATTTGATAATTTAATATGGGGTAATCAAAGAACAGGGCAGCCATGCCTTTGTGTGTTCTGTGCCTTTAATACCCTATTGTCCTGATGTACAAATGATACCTTGTTAGTCTTACAAAATATTATGGCAATGATTATATGTGTGCTGAAAGTTGATAGCAGGTATTATGTCATTATGTGGAGATAATCAGTGAGATAGTCACAGTACAGGTGTGATAAGTATTATGTAGGCACAGTTTGAGGCTGATTTTCACGACAGATTCAGACTGGGTCTTTAAAAGTTGTTGTGCCAGCTGTTGTCAATTGTTTTGCTTCTTTGGGAGAATTATATCCCTCTTCATCCCTGCATGAGTGTGAGATGATGCAAAACATTAGTGTGTTCTTGTATTTTGACTACTTTCCTCGCAGAGGAGAAATGAAGTAATTAAAGATTGAATTGCCTCACCAAGGTTACAGAAAAGCATGACTCCTCAATCTTATAATGGAGGTAAAAGTCATCAAACTGAGGTAAAATAAGGAAACATGAAAATGTAAGATATGGTGAGAGCCAGAAAAGCAAAATAAGTATTGTAGTATAGACCAGTATCGGCCAGAAATGGAATCTGAAATATTTAGTGTGCTAGCCTTAAAAAAAAAAAAAAAAAAAAGTGTCAAATTATTCTTGTATAAAATGTTGGAAAATTTGACTAAGTCTATACATTATTTGATGTTTTAAAAGCTGTGCCTCATTCTGATTCGTTATTCTTAGCCTATCCATATTGGCCCTGCTTTGGCATTTATAAAATCAGACAAACTTCAGTTTCAAACCCAAGTTCACTTTGTAACTGTGTGAACTTGGACTAGTTACTTAGCTTCTCTAAGCTTCAATTTCCTCCACTGTAAAATAGAGATGATAATAACTCTTTTATGGGCTTGTAAGCAGGGATAAATGAGATAGTGCCTATAAAAGGTTCAGCACAGTGCCAGACATGTAAAAAAAGAAATTATCAGTAAAGAAATGCTTGTATGCTATTGTTACTATTATTGAACTTGATTTAAAATATCTGTTTAATGTTCTTTGATTATGAGAAGAGAACTGAAAGAGAAATAATGGAAATCTGAAACAAGAGAATGTCTACAATCATCAGCTGGCCAGAAAAGTGGTAAGTGATGCAAAATAGCCAGACAAGAACCCTCATTTCCCGTTCTCAAAGGGGGGCTTTTTGACAGAGTGGGATAGTAGGCATTGGACTGAGTGGACATAACATTTGCCCTTTAAATAACAGGTCAACTCCCTTGACATGCAGCCATCCGTTATTTTGCCGAGAAGGGAATTTGGTTCTTCCCAGACGTTAGGCTGATGAGCTTAGCTGGTGATGGAGGTTAGCAGCCAGTCTTCCATCACCCTCTCCAAGCACGTCTGAGCTACCTACTTGTGAAAGGTAATAGTCATTCTCTTTAAATAGTAAAATAAATATTTCTTTTAAAATTACTCCCAAAAGAAAGCAACTGCTTTGTAAATGATTATAGTTCTGTATTTACAGAACCAGAAGGTGAACCTGATCACTAAAGTAAGTACATGTTATGAAGAAATTTTATTTGCTATCATAGTTTTTCGTTTGTTTCATTAATTCATTCAACAATCTCAGCAGTCTTCTCAGTAAGAGACGCTGGAGACCGAACAATGTACAAGATAGTTAAGTCCCTGATCATAGAGCTTATGTTCTGGTAGGAAAAACAAACATTAAAAAGTTAACAAACCTGAATTGGAAAATGTTGTATTATTACATATTTTTACAACAATGAAAAATAATTTTAAAAAAGTTAACGAATTCAGTAAGTATAAAACTTGAAAGAAAAATTGATAAATGCTAGAAAGCATAATTCATAGGGTCCCCCTATAGAGAATAGCAGAGGGAAATTATCGATAGTTTGATCAAAGAAGAACTCTCTGAGGAGGTGACATTTAAGCTGAAACTGGAAGGGTGAGAAGGATCCACAAAATAGAGGGAATAATGTTTCAGCCAAGGGTACCGCAAGCACAAAGACCTTTACTCTGGAAGCACCTTGACCTGTTTACAGAACAGCAAGCGAGGGAAAGAGTAAAATGATAGTAGATCTGAGAGATCCTGCAGAGCCTTGAAGACAGTAGCAAAGAGTTTGGATTATATTCTTAGTAAAATTGGCAGTCATTGAAAGGTTTTCAGCAGGGAGGTTCTATGATTTGATTTACATTATTAGAAGCACTCAGACTTCTGTATGGAGAATGGATTGAATAAAATCAGGCAATCTGTAGCATAGGTACAGCAAGTGATGATGAAGGTTGGTATTAGGGTGGGTAAGTGGCTGTGGAAATAGAAGTAAATGGATTTGAGACATATGCTGAGGCAGAAGAGCCAGAATGAGCTGATAATTTGAAGTGAAGGGCAAGAACAAGAGGAATCAAAAATAACATCTGCTTTTCTGTGTTTTGAGCATTTGGGAATTCACAAGAGCTTGCTTGTTTCCCTGGCCAACATTTAAAGCCAAGAGTCCTGACACATGTGTGTACACATATGCACTGTGGTCCAATGAATCACTTTTATATGGCCTTTCTAGTCATGGTCTTGTAATTCCCACAAAATGATTGGCTAGGACTATGCAAATTGAGCAACTTGTGGTCAAGCGAGGGGATTGGTTAGTTTATGGTCTTGGTGGGAGGACCATGCTTTGAAATTGACAAGGACTAGGCTTATATAAGGGTTGGTCCCACAGAGGTTGCGGGGGCCTTACTACTATCAAGGAGAAGAGTCTGTAGCAGAGCACGTCCTTTGTACCAAGGACCTGGAGTCCCTGTGCTGAGAACTTCCTAGACCCAGGAGGAAGGACAAACACTGAAGATGGTGCAAGATGGTGGGAGACAGTGGCATTGGACTTGCCAGCCCACAGAGTGAAAGCTGAGCACCTTGCAGGGAGTCTTGTTAAGTGGAGTTAAAAGAGCCATAACGCTTGTACAGGGCAAGAGAGGCCTGCGTATGCCTGATGCAAGGGTTGCACACATCCCCCGCTGGGCAGTGGGGCCTTAGGTAGCATGGTGACAAGAGAGCAACACAGTTCTGGGTAGCGTGGCTAGAGCCGGCAGCAGAGGCCAGCAAGGCCCAGCAGCAAAGTGGAAGCCTCAGGATCCATGCAGGCCCCCAAGCAGAGGACAGCAGTGATGTGAAGACAGCATCTCATATCTGACCTGAACCTCAGCATGCCTGTCTGGTGACATAAGATGCACACAGGTAATTTGGGGAGGGTTAGCGTTTCCCCTTTGGGAACCTGTTGTTATTGTTGACTGTTTGCTTTCTGTAAGTGTCTTGAATGTCCTGCTGAATCACAGATGAGCTTAGCACCCATGATATGGTTAATACCAGTGGCTGCATGTGTCTCATTCAGAGCAGTCTTATGGCTGCCTGGAAGTTTGAGGCACAGCCTGTCTGCATATGTAGCACAGACAGAGACATGTACATATGTGCACGCACATACTCATATGCACCACTGTTGTTGTTTTACTTAGGTGTTGTCGAGTCAGTTCTATCTAATGGCGACCCTGTGTACAACAGAACAAAACACTGCCCAGTCCCGCGCCATCCCCAGAATCGTTGTTATGCTTGAGCCCATTGTCGCAGCCACTGTGTCGGTCTATTTTGTTAAGGGTCTTCCTCTTTTTCACTGACCCTCTACTTTACCAGGTATCATGTCTTTTTTCCAGGGACTGGTTCCTTCTAGGAGCCCTGGCGGTGCAGTGGTTAAGAGCTTGGCTGCTAACCGAAAGGTCGGCAGTTCGAATCCACTAGCTGCTCCTTGGAAACCCTATGGGGCAGTTCTACTCTGTCCTATAGGGTCACTATGAGTCAGAATTGACTCACGGCAATGGATTTGGTTCCTTCTGATAACATGTCCACAGTACATGAAATGAAGTCTCACCATCCTCATTTGTAAGGAGCGTTCTGGCTGTACTTGCAAGACAAATTTGTTCATTCTTCTGGCGGTCCATGGTATATTCAATAATCTTTGCTAACACCATAATTCAAAGGCATCGATTCTTATTCGGTCTTCCTCATTCATTGTCCAGCTTTTGCATGCATATGAGGTGATTGAAAATACCACAGCGTGGGTCAATCCTCAAGGTGACACCTTTGCTTTTTACCACTTTAAGGAGGTCTGTTGCAGCATATTTGTCCAATGAAATACATTGTTTGATTTCGTGACTGCTGCTTCCATGGATGTTGATTTGTGGATCCAAGTAAAATGAAATCCTTGACAACTTCATTCGTTTCTCTGTTTATCATGGTGTTGCTTATTGGTCCAGTTGTGAGGATTTTTGTTTTCTTTATGTTGAGTTTCAATCCATACTGAAGGCTGTAGTCTTTGATCCTTGTCGATAAGTGCTTCAAGTCCTCTTCACTTTCAGAAAGCAAGGTTGTGTCATCTACATAACGCAGGTTGTTAATGAGACTTTCACCAATCCTAATGCCACGTTCTTTTTCATATACTCCAGCTTGTCGGATTATTTGCCAGCATACAGATTGAATGAGTATGGTGAAAGATAAAAACCTGACGCACACCTTTCCTGGTTTTAAACCATGTAATATCCCCTAGTTCTGTTCAAACAACTGCCGCTTGGTCTATGTACAGGTTGTGCATGAGCAGAATTAATTATCCTGGAATTCCCATTCTTCCCAATGTTATCCATAATTTGTTATGATCCACAGAATCGAATGCCTTTGCATAGTCAATAAAACACAGGTAAACATCTTTCTGGTATTCTCTGCTTTTAGCCAAGATCCATCTGACATCAGTAATAATATTCCTCGTTCCACGTCCTCTTCTGAATCCAGCTTGACTTTCTGGCAACTCCCTGTTGATGTACTGCTGAAACCACTTTTTAATTATCTTCAGCATAATTTTACTTGCATGTGATATTAATGATACTGTTAAATAATTTCCGCATTCCATTGGATCATCTTTCTTTGGAATGGGCACAAATATGTATCTCTTTCAGTCGGTTGGCCAGGTAGCTGTCTTCCACATTTCTTGGCAAAAAAAAGTGAGAGCTTCCAGGGTTGCATTCATTTGCTGAAACATCAAAATTGGTATTCTGTTGATTCCTGGAGGCTTATTTTTTGCCAGTGCAGTCAGTGCATCTTGGACTTCTTCCTTCGGTACCACTAGTTCTTGATCAGATGCTCCCTCCTGAAATGAATGAACTTTTACCAAATCTTTTTGGTCCAGTGACTCTGTGTATTCCTTCCATGTTCTTTTGATACTTCCTGTGTCATTGAATTTTTTTCTCCATAGAATCCTTCAAAATTGCAACTTGAGGCTTGAATATTTTCTTCAGTTCTTTCCACTTGAGAAATGCTGAGCTTGTTCTTCCCTTTTGGTTTTCTAACTCCAGGTCTTTGCACATTTCATTATAATACTTCACTTTATCTTCTTGAACCACCCTTTGAAATCTTCTGTGCAGCACTTTTACTTCATCACTTCTTCCTTTCACTTTAGTTACTCTTTGTTCAATTTCAGAGTCTCTTCTGACATCCATTTTGGTCTTTTCTTTCTTTCCTATCTTTTTAATGACTTTCGCTTTCTTCATGTTTGATGTCCTTGATGTCATCCCACTACTAGTCTGGTCTTCAGTCATTAGTGTTTAATGTGTCAAATCTATTCTTGAGTCAGTCTCTAAATTCAGATAGGATATATTCAAGATCATACTAGGGCTCTCTTGGACTTGTTTTAATTTTCTTCAGCTTCATCTTGGACTTGCATGTGCGCAATTGATGATCTGTTCCAGTTTGCCTCTGGCCTTATTCTGACTGATGATGTTGAGCTTCTCCGTTGTCTCTTTCCACAGATGTAGTTGATTTGATTCTTGTGTATTCCATTCTGATGTGTATAGTCACCATTTATGTTGTTGAAAAAAGTATTTCCGATGAATAAGTCATTGGTCTTGCAAAATCCTGCCATGCGATCTTCCGAGTCGTTTCTATGACCTAGGCCAGCTTTTTCCAACTACCGATCCTTCTTTGTTTCCAACTTTGCATTCCAATCACCGGTAATTATCAATGCATTTTGAATGGGTGTTTGATCAGTTTCAGACTGCAGAAGTTGGTATAAACCTTCAATTTCTTCATCTTTGGCATTAGTGATTGGTGCATAAATTTGAATAATAGTTGTATTAACTGGTGTTCCAAGTAGGTGTATGGATATTATTCTGTCACTGACAGTGTTGTATTTCAGGATAGAACATGAAATGTTCGTTTTAAAGATGAATGCCATGCCGTTCCTCTTCAATTTGTCATTCCCAACATAGCAGACCATATGATTGTCTGATTCAAAATGGCCAATTCCAGTCCGTTTCAGCTCACTAATGCCTAGGATATCTGTCTTCAAGTGTTCCATTTCATTTTTGACAACTTTCAATTTTCCTAGATTCATACTTCATACATTCCATGTTCTGATTATTAATGGATGTTTGCAGCTGTTTCATCTCATTTTGAGTCATGCTACATCAGCAGATGAAGGTCCCAAAAGCTTTATTCCATCCATGTCATTAAGGTTGACTCTACTTTGAGGAGCCAGCTCTTCCCCAATCCTATTTTGAGTGGCTCCCAACCTGAGGGGTTCATCTTCTTGTACTATGTCAGACAGTGTTCTGCTGCTATCTATAAGATTTTAAGTGGCCATTTTTTTCAGAAGTAGATTGCCGGGTCCTTCTTCCCAGTTTGTCTTAGTCTGGAAGCTCTTCTGAAACCTGTCCAACATGGGTGACCCCGCTGGTATTTAAAATACTGGTGGCATAGCTTTCAGCATCAGAACAACATTCAAGCCACCGTAGTATGACAAACTGACAAACGAATAGTGGATACACACCACTGCCACTTGGGAACATGGAAGTTCACATTTGAGAAGACCAAGTTATACATAAGAAATGATTGAGGCAGTGTTTACGTGAACACCTCATGCTTAATGGTGCTCGTCTCTACATCTATACTTTTTTGCAGGCTGTTGGAAGGCACATAATTGCCCTCTCCTCCTCTTTCTGGCTATCGAAATCCACTTCAAACTTAATGTGCAGTTCAGTCCTATTTTCTCTGTGAAGCCAACATTAACACCCCAAGCCAAACAGATTTCACTGTTTCAAGGGCTTTGTAAGATACATTCAAAGACCCCTGGTGGTGCAATGGTTAAGCACCCAACTGCTAACCAAAAGGTTGGTGACTGCAGGCAGAAGACCTGGTGATCTGCTCCGGTAAAGATTATAGCCTAGAAAACCCTATGGGGAGCAGTTCTACTCTGCCTTATAGGATTGCTTTGAGTCAAAAGTCAACTCGAAGGCACCCAACAACATAATTCACTGTCCAGGTCTGATCCTTTTGAGACTTGAACTTTGGCAATGTCATGTGGCTATACCAATGGTTTACATGCCTTGTAACTGTCTATGTAAATGTCTGTCCAACTAAACTCCTTAAGACCAAGGACTGGTTCTTATTTGCCCATTGCACCCACAATATCTAGCAGCACACTCTGAACATAGAAGCGGCTCGGTAAATAGCAATGAAATCATTGGCATTTTTACATGGACAAAAACTTGGTGAGCACCCAGTTTAACATTCCATATATTTGGTAAAGAGGAGATTAGGCCACAAACAGGTAGTACACTGTCCACATCATAGACTTAGTAAAAGCATTGGAAATATACATCACAAACACGTCAGTTCAGTGAACTTGAGCAAGATCTTTAGATTCTGTACTTCCGTTTTCTCATGTAAGGAATGAAGGAGTTTACAGTTTGGGATCCCAAAAGTTCTTTCAGGATTTATGTTATTTTTTAAAACTATAGTTTATTGAATATTGTTATGAGCCAGATACTGAGAATGTCTATACTTTATAACATTCTTTTATTTAATCTTTGTAACAACAACTTTGTGAGGTAGGTGGTATTACTCCTATTTTTAAGTAAACTTAAATAAGTAAATGAAGATAAGTTAACTAAGAAATAGTACCTGTTGCCATTGAGTTGATTCTGATTCATAGTGACTCTCTAGTACAGAGTAGAAATGCCCCATATGATTTCCAAGGCTGTAATCTTTACAGAAACAGATCGCCACATATTTCTTCCATAGAGCAGCTAGTGGGTTTGAACCACCAACCTTTCGGTTAGCAGCCAGCTGCTTAACCACTGCACAACCAGGGACAGAAACTTTAAATAACTTGTCCAACAGTACTCAACTAGTAAATAGTAGAATAGGATTGATTAGAATCCAGACCTACTTAACTGCAAAGCCTGAGGTCTTAATCAATACTATTCTGCTTCATTTC